AATAACAATAATCACATAATAATGACATCGATCTGTCCACCTATCATCTACTATATCTATCTATACTATTATAAAGAAGAGGTGGTGTTTGTGTGTTTGTATGAGATAAACTAAGCTACTGAACTGATTGGACTCAAATTGGACAAAAATCAAGCTACCGCTCCGAGGATTAGAACTACCCCCCACCTTCGATATTGAACTAGTATCTGCTCCACGGGCTTTCAAAATTCTGAGGTGAGGGATTTTTAACTTATTTAATACGCAAGCAGGTTTTTCTGTGACATTTACTCCTCCGAAACTACTAAACCAATTGGCATGTTTTTGGTGTCATTTTTGGAAAGAGCGTAACGTGAAGTTGTGCAGGAAACTTTCTTTTTAGGGAAATAATTAGGGTGAGGCCCTGGGGCCCTTTACGGGTTCATATTTCTCCATAAGATTCATGGGAAACAGACATTGTTATGTAACTCCAGCTGTTGTCAGAAATTAAAAACGAGAAGAATAACTTATGTTAATTGTAAACATTATGTAATTTACACAACTATGTGTAGTAGGTTTATTTATGCAATTGATTATTGAAGTGAAGAAAAATTCTATAACCATAAGTTATAAAAATTATGTTATTGATATATTTTAATGTAAACAGTAGGGTAATTACAATGTAGGGCATACATTTTTGTAAAAATTTGATTGCTATTTGTTTAAAAAATTCAATCTACTTAACAAGTGTTTGGATTAAGCAGTATGGACTTTTGGTACATCTTCCCGTTGCGAATCACGGGCACAGCAGCTAGTTCCGTTTATTCACTAATTGTAAATAAATTATAACGTAAAGATATAATTGACAGTTGGTAGGAAGATGATTACACTAAACATGTCGCCAATTGTTTTCAGATAACGTATTATCTCGTCACATTATGGTATTTGGTAAGTGACTGATTAGTACAATTTTAAAGAAACGTGTCCAATATCATTCAAAACAGTGATTTGGATTGTTTTGTCTAAAAATCTTTCAAAAAGTATAATCCGACGACTAAATAAAATAAATTAATACAAGATATAGAATAGTTTTACCAACAGCAGAATATTAGTTTGGTTCTCTTTTGTGATTACTACGTGAAATGAAAACAGTATTTAGGTTGGAAATTAAAGGACAATCGCGATCTCGCAACTACGGGAAAGTGAACTGACCTGAGTGAGCCAACACCTCAATAACTGGAATGGTTGATGTGAAAGAAAAATCTAAGAAATTTCAGATTAAGTCCATTCGTAGAAACGTGCGAGGGGATAAACGGGACATCCCTGTATTCTGTTCCCTAATATTTCCTTTAAAGTTCCCAGTACTGACTGTTATGGGGTTGTTTATATTAAACAATTGGCCGAATACTTTGCACCAGGTGTCCACGTCTACATTTTACAACATGCATTTCGTTCAACCTTCCCAGAAATAATTCGCGGTTCGTTCCTGATTGTTTAATAATGAGGCATATTATGCTATTGTTCTAAATACATACGAGAGATATTCAAAAAGGCAAAAACAAAGAAAAAAGGTTTTGAGGTAATAACAAGCCTATATTTTAATCAGGAAAGTGTTATCATCATGCCAAATTTCAGCCTAATCCCGATGTGCCCAATGAATTGTTATTGAGTGATTGAACCCCAAACAAACACACAAACATTCATTTGTAATATTAGTAAAGTAGCACTGTACTTCAACGTATGAATCAGGCCGTAACTTGAAATAAACGCTTAGGCCAGTTACATTTTTAACATCCAAATGTAATATTATTTCGCCAAACACCGTTGATCAGTTATTAAACGGAGGCAACTGGTACCAAAAGTCATTATCTTGCGAAAAAAAAAAAAAACAATTTGTTTTCAAACAAAAATCAGTTTAACAAAAATAAAGGACTTTGGCTTTGACTTTTTTCAGGTTATAATCCTAAGTCAAATTTGTATCTAATCGTATAATGAAACTGCTTGATGCATAATTAAGGTTCAAATGAATCAGTAATATTATTTTAACCTATGTAGATACGATATCCTGCACATTGTGAAAATTGTTTAGTCGAGGATTCATTTACACATAAACATCATCATTATTTAAATATTTAATTGGCCAACACAAATGTTGTGATTATTGTTTTGAAACTGCTACACATCCGATATCATCAAGTTTAACGTGTCGTTGGATAGGTCGTGACATGTAAATTTGCCATAAAACAAAACACATTTGAAATTCCATCAGGGCTCTGCCCCAGTGGCCTTCAGCCAATTGAAAGCGTCAATATACGTGATTCAATTTATTTCATATCACGGACGATTAATTAATATCAAACATTAGAAATGACAAAATAAATGTAAAAATAAACGGTATCAGCATTCTGAAACATACTTTCTCCCATAAGCTTGTTAACATCCTATATCATGGGAAAGCGGTGATAGTATATAGTTCAAAATCACAAAAGCTGAAATAACTTTTGGACCATAATTGTTACAGCAATGGGGTGTTGTCAACAACCCATTGCTGTAACAATTATGGTCCAAAAGTTAGGTGTTGTACTATTTTTTTAAAACATCATTTGTTTATGTTTATAATCCATACCGGGTCTCTTCTAGTACTCGTGGTCTAATCACAGAATACCGATAATTTCACCCGAATTACCTTTTGAATTCAAGTGAATACAATTTTCTTTGCGTCTTGCTTTCGCAATCACCATTATAAAATGGCACAAGACTATCCCTGACTAACGCCGGTTTAAATGTATAAAATGCATGCTTTTCACACGTATGTTGCGTGCGCACGTGGTGGTAGGTGCGCATAAAAACTTATATATATATATATATATATTTATACGCCTAATGAAAAAAAATTGTTTATTCACTGGCAATTAAGTAAAATAACTATTCTATTTTTTTTTTTGGTATACGTTTTTATCATCTCATATTAATACGCGAGGACTGTGTTTTGTGAACACTACTCCTCCTTTATTTGTGGACAAATTTCAACGTTTAAGGGGTTGGTGTTAAAGGATTCGGACCAATTCGTAGTTTTGCATTAAGGTTTTAGAATTTAAAAGTTCCTACCCTTAAGGGCGTGAGACCCTTTTAAATGTCGGGTTTTCACCATGTTAATAATTGTATTACCCACGTATTACCTATCAATCTTTCTTCCGAAAATAAACTAAAATGTCCAGATATGCTATTTAAGAGTTAGGTACATTAACTTTCTCTAAATTAACTGAATCAAAGTACCAATATATTTAATGCTACAGAATATAAATCCAACCGATTTATTTATTGATAAATCCAACCGCGAGATGGTGGGTTGTCGAGGTGGCACGTTGTCGCCTATGAGCGAGGTGGCGCGTTGACGGCACCGAACACTGAGCGTACACGTCAACCCGCCACCTCGTAAAAGAGTGGTGGCGGGTTGACAGGGTGGCACGTTGTCGCCTACGTACGAGGTGGCGGGTTGCCGACATCGAACATGGAGCTTCACGACAACCCGCCACCTCTGATAAAAACTGGTGTTGGCGTGTTGTCGTGGTGGCATGTTGTCGTGGTGGCTCATTGACTTGAGTGTGTACGACAACCCGCCACCTCGGAAAATTGTGTGGTGGTGGGTTGTCGTGGTGGCCTGTTGTCGAGGTGGCGGGTTGACATGTACGTACACGTCAACCCACCACCTCGGTTTTTTTGTGGTGGCGGGTTGACGCCTCTGACCAAAACACCGAGGTGGCGGTTTGACGTGGTGGCGCATTGACAGCGACCCGATCCGGTGACCTTCTGATTCGTATTCGAGCACTATAAGCATTCAGCCTCCCAGGTGTAGTGACATAGATTAAGAAATAATTACAGAAACAACCTGATGATTAATTGATCTTAATAGAGGGTTGATCATGGTGACATGTGCTGTGAAAAAAACACTAAAGTTTAATCATTATAATGAAGAAAAAATTACTAAATAGAGACAACTCTAGTACTCTAGAGAATTCGGATGAATATATTATAACTGGAGTCACTATATGGAGCGAGGGTTGAACACTAGAGAAAAGTGTGCCATCAAGAAATAACCCCAATTGATTGGTTCGAATATGACAGCTATCCAATCAACCGTTCAGACAGGCCAACATAACAACACGAAAAACTTTAAAAAAAACCGGCAAAAACAGTGGTACGCCTTTTAAACACAGAGTGGGGACTCCAGTTACAATAAATTATTGCTCAGTCAAGTGCTCTAGAGACAATGACCTTATTTGAATCGAGGGCTTACAAACAATTATCATATCATAGTCATAGTCAAAGATAAAACATACCTGTACAGTAGACTCCCTCTTGTGCTCTTATCCGGACTCCTCGGGACCGAGGCCAGTCCGGATAACGGGTTTGCCGGTTAAACCGACGTCCCTAAAAATTTGTTAAAACGGACTGTTTACTGTGATATTCGACCTAAATTTATGAGAGCATTATATTTAGACACGTGATCACTGGTCTCAAATCTTTCCCACGAGAACAGTTGTTTCAGTACTGCCCACTTCCTGCCAATCTAGTCCGGTTAAACCAATGTGCTGATAAAAATTGTCCGGTTAAAGAGATATCATTTCCGCCGAGTGTAGTCCGGTTAAACCGATGTCCGGTTAAGAGGTGTCCGGATAAGAGGGAGTCCACTGTACATTTATTTGTTAGTTTATGATGAATCATACATACTCTTGAAGGGAGTATGTTTTATGGTTTTATTCTATGATGATATTAAACCAAAATTTAAACTCTATGCAGTTTCGCTGTTACGTTTTCTATTTTAAAATTCTACATGTAGACTAACTTAAGTTTTATCGTCAGAAAGAACAATTTCAATACAAATTGAGTTAAAAATGATAATTTTATTCCAAAAAAGTTATTGATACATATTATTTTCTAATAGTATTAAGTAATTCAATGAAATTACGTTTCACTGATCACCGAGGGAGTATGCTCGTATCTTGGAACAGCCCTACTAGTTGTTCTGTTTCTGTGCTTCTGTCTGCTCTCTGCAGGAACAAATTTCCAAAAATCTCTAAAATGGGTGTGTGTTGTGTTTGTTGAAGTGTTTATTTATTAACTGTCGTGATTAGGCGTTTGTTGACAAGGATGTGTTGGAGCTTTTGATATAGTCTACAATATTTAACAAGGTAAGGGCCACATTATATTAACATTTAAATTCATGTAATTTTGTATTTTTATTACGGTATAGAATGAATGATTGCTTCTCTTCCTTCGACCCTTTTTATAGCTCTTAGCGCTATCTTATGGCTTATTTGTTTATACCATTATCATAAAATTGCTTTCGGTCTATCGTTCTCTTACTTAGTCTCATGTCAAAATAGTGGGAAAAATAAACAACAATAACAACAACACAGGGGTTGTCAATTAAATGAATCTCAGATTATAGCAAGTCCTAGCCTAAATCTTTGCGCATATTTTTTAGATTTCTTAGGCTTAGTAGGTAAAGACCTAACATTCATTGTTGACTCAATCAATTATCAATTTAGATGGGGTGCCTCCAAGGTGCGTAGGCCCTAGGCTATTTTAAGCCAAATATGAGTGAAGGATGACGGATGAGTGTAGGCCTAGAACGAATTGGGATGAACTTTGTAGATTTTTTACTGGCTAATATCAGCTGTACGATTAGTCAGGATTAATTCCTTATTTAAAGCCCAATGATCAGAGACAGTTGGGTCCAGTTTCGGGTACACTTCCATATCTGTTGGCACAAACAACCGATGAGTAATATCGATCGATATATCGATTATTTATTATTCTAGGCCTATATATCGTTTGGTTAGTTAGGTGTAACCTAACAAACCAAAGATAATCGAATTAAACAATCGAATAGGCCTACCTTATCAATATTACTCATTCGGTTTGTGCCAACAGATATGGAAGTGTACCCCCAGTTTCAAACCATCAAAAGGCTAACTCAAGTTTTCAGGCCTAGCGTACCTAAACTTACTTAGGCTACTTTTCTCAGGAACAAACCGGTGACCTTTTTAATTACATAGGCGAGCACTAAAGTTATACGGTCATTGTTATATACATTTGTCTTTCATTATAGCCTTAGCTAAATGCTGCTTTTAATGTGACCTAACATAGCCTAACTTAGCCTACTTGCTACCTTACAGTAAGTTAGCCTACTTCAAAACTTATTTAATATGTCCAGCTGTTCTGAATCTTGAATCTGGATCAAATCTCTGACAACTGGACCTATGCTATGAACGACGGATGGAGGACCGATTCCGGTTAGCCTAATTTGATTACATTACAGTAACTTAGGCCTACCCATAATGTGTTTTGGTTAAAAAAATATTTTGGCCGTTTTGGTAATTTTTTGTTTCTATTGTTGTGTTTTATTGGGAAAAGGATCTTAATTTTTGGAATCAGCGTTGAATTTAGAGTAGGATGTAAAAAAGAAATTCAAGAATCGGGTGCAAACCCCAAAATGCATATCCTACTACCGTGTACTTAACTTGTAAACATTGTTTCAAATTGGGATTTGCATAGATTTTGTCAGCAGACAAGATAAGTTGAGATGTTAGGTAGGCAATAGGCCTACATAAAATCTTGCAATTAAGAATTAAGGATTACATCAATGCAATTAAGGATTTGAATCAAAAGTAGACTGGAGGTTTCTTCCAAAAACTTAGCCTAACTTAGATGGTACACATTGATGGTTCATATTTCATCCACTACCTAGGCCTAAGTGTACCAAAATTATCACAATCGGCAAGCTGTAAGTTAAGTTATGTTAAAGAAAATCTGTACATAACTTAAATGTAAGCTAACAAAATTTATAGCAAAGCCTACAGTATTTAACTTTTATTACTGTAACCGAAATAGCCTTTATGGTTGGTGTTTAAAGGTTGGTTTTGGGGAAAAGTTGGGGAATTTTTTATTTCCCTTTACTTATCTAAAGCCAAGGGTTGATTGAGGAGTGTACTTAGGTCAGTTTTATGAAAACAACTCCAAAATGCATTACCGCAGCAAATTAGTCATACCAAGTGCTCGATTTGCGGCGTTACGGCGGACTTCTCTTTTGGGGAAAAAAATCTGCATTAGGTACTAATCTCATTAAATAGGCACACTGAGTGCCTTATACGCACAATAAGTTCCGGCACCTCCTTACATCCGTCGCTGTTGCTGGTATTATTGATGTTTCGTTTCTTGCTGAGCGTTCTGGTTAGGGGAAATCTGATTTAAAGTTGTGTTCTACAGTAATGTACCCCCATCCAAATTGTTGTAGTGTTCCTTCTTATTTTATTTTAGACGTGCTAAAGCTAACAAACTACCTAATCTGGTTACTACCAGATTACTGTGTCAATGCCATTCTTCATGAATATCGTAACCTATTATACTTAATAGGTTACGATATTCATGAAGAATGGCATTGACACAGTATTCAATAAACAAACACGCCATTTTATTATTACAAGATGAAAAATGGACCTTTCATTTGTACACAGTTTTTGACCAACCAAGATGATTGTGTGTCTACTTGGTTAGTTGATGTAGGTAGACTAACAATTACATAACCTTAACTGTAATATTTTTTAACAAACTATAGGTACCTAGGTATATGAATGTAAACAATAATGGCAGTTTTGAAATCTTATTATCTCAAAACAAAACATTACATATCATTTGGAAATTTTAGTAATATTTTTGAAAGTAGGCCTAGTATTAAGTTAAATGTAAATAGGTAGACTACTTCAAATTAGTGGCTACACAAATTAGTGGTGTTGAAATTAAAATAATGTGATAAAATCATATTTGCATAAACTAGAGTGGCCGCGTAACGCAGAGCTTCTATTTTGGTTGCAGTTGATGGGCCAGAGCCGGACGACCACTGCCTCAGATAGGCCCAATCCACCACACGGACTACCTGCAAGTTAGACGACCTGCTCGGCAAATAATAAGTACCGTATTGTATATTAGTTAAAAATGGCAAATAAGAAAGAAACTGACTTTGAAACGAGATCTGATGATGAGGAGGAGGAGAAAATCCGGCTGCAAAGACCGTCAGGCGAGGCCTCGTCTCGATCTTTGAGATTACGTTTGTCTAGGCCTCAGAGTGAGGAGGAGGATGATGACTACGGAAACGGAGGTGAAGAGGAGGAGCTGAAAAAAACAATCATGATAGGAAGTTCGTATCAAGCGACAATTCCCGAAGGGTTGTGTAAATACGATGATGCCTTGCCATATGAAAATGATGACAAATTGCTTTGGAACCCAGATAAGCTGACAGATGAGGATATAGAGTCGTATCTGGTAAAGGCTCAGGAGCCGATATTTAGTAATGCTCAAGGAGTTCATGCTATCCCTACCGGAGCTCATACAAGAGACGATGAGCAAGCGTTGTATCTCCTACTGCAATGTGGGTACAATGTAGATGAGGCACTACGTAGGCGAAGACTAAACGCCATCCCCACCTCCGACACAAGCAGTTTGTGGTCTGAGGAAGAATGCCGCAACTTTGAAAACGGCCTACGAGCTTTTGGTAAAGATTTTCATCAAATTCATCAAGATAAGGTAAGAACGAGATCTGTTGGAGAACTGGTACAATTTTACTACCTTTGGAAGAAAACGGAACGACACGACATCTTTGCCAATAAGGCGAGGTTAGAGAAGAAGAAGTACACTTTGCATCCTGGAATAACGGACTACATGGATAGATTTTTAGAAGAACAGGAAAGTGGAATAAGTTCCGAGCAGAGAGATAGAAGTGCTTCTCCGAATCATTCTCTGAGTGCGAGCGATTCTAAACGGAAGCAACATATCGAAGATAAGAAGGAAAGTGCTTTAGCAAAAGAAAGCACATCAGGCAGTGTTGAAATTACTGTAACTAAAACAACTTCCTCCACTGTTAGCCCCAGTAAAGTGGCAGTCCCGTCTGCTTCGGCCACGATCACTCAATGAACTGTTTATGCAAATATGGTTATAAATCAGAGTACAAATAGTCTTATTTTATATCTATAGATTGACTTGTAGCTGAAACTTGCACAATATCATAACTATTAATTCACTATAATTAAAATAAAATAGGCCTATGCCTTTTCTTCTTATAACTTTATTTCTTTTACCGAATAAATTGTAATTGGTCAATAAGTTCTCCTATTGATAAGACCTGAGTGTAAGTTATTTTATTGAATAATAAACGTTGAGAAAACAATGCTAACTGCTGTAATTGTAGCCTATAATTTTTCTGTAAAATTTTTTACAACTTTTAAAAGTTGATTTTCTCATTTAAGGAATGTATTCGCAATGCAACCTAAAAACTATATTCTGCCATAAATTGGCATTACTGTATTTGTAATGCAATAGACTCCTCGAACACAAGGCCGCGGCGTTGGTGTGTGACAACATATCAGCCGGCCTGTTAACATGGCATTAAGAGGAATAACAAATGTGTTACATAAACATAGCACAGACGCTCCATCATCTGTTTCCGTAGGTTGAAAGTGCAGCATTGCCACTGCCTTGTATTAGAGGAGGCCATGGTAATCCTGCAGTACTTTTTGCAGCAGTTTCAAACATTTTAAATTATAGAGATATACAAAAACTTGGTTTTGTAATACCATGCAGAGGAAAAATATTTAGGGTATACAAAGTTTATTTTGGTATGACTATTCCTATGTCTTAAAATCGTATCTATTATAGATTGCAACTATGGACGAGATAACTTTGATGTAGACGAATATTATTTGTAAATCATTAATCAAAACTTTGAATACAAAACAAAGTTAGAATATGTTGTAACCAAATCTACTCAAAATCTAATGTATTAACCACAGAGAAGGGAGAATTCACAGAGGAAAAATTAAATGGTACACTTAGATGGTGTCTAGGGCAAGTCCAAGACTGTTTCCCTTGCTCTCATGTAGTACAATGCTCATAAGAATTTCCGCACAGTGTTCGCTGCTCGGTCTCCTCTTTGCTTAAGTATATTTTCGGCAAAACATGCCAGATCTGAAAGTGCACGGTAGGCCCTAAGTGTTTCCTCTGTACCTTACTTCTCTATGATCTAATATAAAAACTATTACCAATGTTATGAAACATATTACTGAAAATCAAAATTAAGACACAATAATACTAAGATTATGGAAAATAAATTATTACTGAAGTGTGTGCTTTAAAATTAATATAGTCATATATAAAATGGGGTTTACATATTATTTTTTATTTTATTTGATAGGGTTAAGCAGATATTCTACCACAATACCTATTTTTGTATTCATTTTTAATCGTGTTCCAAAATTTTAGCTTATATTTTAACAGTGTAGTTTATTAAAAATATTTTAATTAGGGCCTATTGTTTTATAATTATCGTTTGTATAGGTTTAGTTATTAATAGTTTTTAAATTAACATAATACTTGTTGGGGTTTCACTAAGTATGTAAATAATCAAGTCTATTAACACACCAGTTACTAATTTGTTTTATTACGAACTTCAACCGTGACGTGATTGAGCCATGCAAATACTTATGAAGTTAAACGGGGCAAAGCCCGTGGGTACAGCTAGTTGTAAATAAAAATGAAATAATAAGTTACTAGAATATTCATGCGTCTGGGCATTCTGTGGCCATGCAGCATTGCAAAACACATTTTTAGGCCTAAATCAGTTAAAAGTACTCTTATGAAGCTATTTCAGAAAAGATTTGTAGGTAAACCTTTTCACATTTTTGATTAGGCTATTGCAATGTTTTATTTGTCCTCACTAGCTATTTTGTAAATTGTCAAGTTGTCATACTGGTGTGTTAAAAATATTTTTACTGTTACATTACATCATATCACAGTATACTGTAAATCTTTCACATCCGATCTCACTGTAAATATGTGTATCTACTCAAAGCAAGCGTTTGTCAAAAATATTTTAAATAAACATTTTTTACCAATTTGTGTGATTTGTAAATCTGTAGTCCTACAACATCACCTGTGGCTAAGAACCCATGTATAAGTTTTTTTCTTTAAGAAACCCTACGCCAGATGTAATTTATTTTAGAAAATCTATAGGCCTACCCAAAGTTGGTTGAAAAAACATACCTAACCATATATTGAGATTCACTTTGATAATTTTATCAGTTGATTCCAACCTAAAAGTCAAATCAAATATAGTAAACTAGCAAATTTTACAGTTATATAGCATTTAATCTGCAGGTATCTAGAATGAGGAATCAGTTATCTGTCAAATGAAGCCTTGGGGGGTGTTTAGTCACTGTAGCTGGGCAATGAGCAATGTTATGGGCTATTGACCTGGTAATGACTTAATGTAGCATGAGCTTGTCACACTCAACCATGTTAAACAGCTAATTGTCCAGCTGATCACTCATAAATGCTGCAATGCCTCATATCTTAATGAGTTTATCAACACTGAAGGCTGGAGTGTTGTGGTTATTCACAATTTTGAAATTTTCTCACTGTACTTTGTTTAAACTGTTGACTTCCCATCTATGAACCAGCTGTAGTCAGTAGGTACTCAATGGAGAAAAAAATTCTTAAAGTGTTACCTAGTTTGGGAATATTAGGAAATTCTAGTGCAGAGATAAATATGTTTCTCAGCTAAGATAGATGGGTAGCTCAGTTGTTATAGTGCTCGCCTGGTGGTCATCGGTTCGCTGAGAAAAGTCAGTAGCTTTTTGATTGTTTGAGTCAACATCGATGTTTTTCTATCGATGCTCATCCCTAAACTGGACCCAGCTTGGTCATTGGGCTTTCAATAAATGGTCTCGACTAATGAAACAGCTGGTTTTAGTCAGTAACAAAGCTACACAAGGCATTCTACACTCATATTTGGGTTAAAATACACACATAGGTGACATCCCAACCTCAAATGAATATGAATTTGGTTTGAAGACTTAAGATAGTTTGTTGAATGTCCTGAACAATGTGATAGAAATTATTTTATTTACGATTGACTTTTGATGTGGTTGGATAAGTACAAAAAAAAAAAAATTATCTATATAATAATCGTAAAACACAATAAAAAAATATTTTGTAACTGTCACTGAAATGACAGTTATAGTGTGTTATAGTGTTGGAATTGTTTGTTACATATAACTAAAATAATTTACAAATACTACTACTTTGTCACTTATAGGCCTACTATAATTACTCTTCAGATTCTAGTAACAAAACTTTCATAAAATCCCTACACTCACACTACTAATAAATATTACTATTCAATATATTGTTTGCATTTTTACAAAAGTGCATTTCCTTGCATAACAAAACCAATAACATCATAAGATTTTTAAGTAAGGTAAGGTTAGTAGCTTGCATCAGGGGGAAGAGGAAAATATCAGAGATTTGGCCCTTACTGTAACGGCGCACTTACCCTACAATGGTGAAGAAGCTGTTATCCCCTTCTACACTCACCCTCAGGACAGTGTTGTATGAACATTGTCTCGGACATTTTACACTGCACGTTGATTTCTTACGGAACAGATTATACTAGATGTTTTGTCAGCGAGACTGCTTGCTGTTCCAAGACACACTATGACATTGTCACATCGTCTGTACACTTAGCTACATAGTTTATATTCAATGGAAACAACATGAAATTTAAACATTTACGATTGTTAGGCTCTCCAAGTATTCGTTTCTTGAATCTTTGATCACGATGTGTTTTTCCTAATCTTATCACCCACACATGATACCAGTTGATGTGTCAAAGGAATCAAAAGGAGCTCGATAATGTAGGAAAAACTTGTTTTCATACATCCTGTGTACTGGGACTAAAGGAAGGACTATTTTTAGTTAAAATACTTCACAAAGTACATCGTGAGTGTAAGGGTCCTGACTCTTGTAATTGACATTCTGTTTTAGTGTTTCCAAAATAAGTAATTCCCGTAAAGGTTCAATTAAACAGTGTACATCGTGGAAATGGAGAAAGTGACACATAGGCACATAGGCTTCCTGTGACACTGTAATTTCTATAACAGCAAAAAAAAAAAAAAACTATTTTGTCTGTATCTAAAGATTATTTATGTCCAGTTTTCTTTTTGTAATTAGGTGCTCCCTGGAGATCCAACAAATCAAATATAGTACTATACGATATTACAAGAGGGTATATCGTGCACTTAAATATGAAAATAAAATATATGAAGTTAGTAAATGAGTAAATGAAGTAAGTGTCGTGGGTTCGGATCCTGGTCACTGCCACTAACTTTTATCAGTACAGTTCACCTTTGTACTGTACAGGCTCACCCCTTGCTTTGCTGGATACGTTCCACGCACAGAGTTGTAGTCTATGTGGACGGGCAAATGCAAGGTTAAAAGAGGCCGCCAACCTCTTTAAAAAAAAAAAAAAAACTAATAATTTGTAATGTTAAAAAAAAATTAGATTGTAGACTCGCTCATACCAAAGAGTTACTTACCTACTAGTCAGGTTACAACTATCGATAAAAGTCTATTCAAAATCCATTTTCATCAACAGTTTTGTCTCCTGTTTGCCATTTTAATTTAAAAATTGATCTGAAGTAATCAGCTGTTACCAGTGGCAGATCTAGGACCATGTCAAGGGGGTGCTAACGGGTGGGGGGGGGGGTCCCAAAACAGGGGGGTTTGGGGGTCCTCTCCTGAAAAATTGCTATTTTTGAAGCCACTTGGTGACTTTTTAAAGCCATTTTCAACTTCTTTAACTGGGTCTAAAAACCTGACGTTGCTTTATATTTTGAAATGCATGTTTTAATTTATATTTCAAATTTCAAGGGTCCAAGGGGGCTTTAGCCCCTATAGCCCCCCTTGGAACCGCCACTGGCAGTTACATTACTCCACATATAAAAATCTTTATAAAACAAGTTAGTAGGAAACCCTGTGTTTTCTTTGAAAACAACCACTGAAAATAAATAAAAGGTTTAAGGGACAAAGCCCTAAATTTACCATTGGTCCCTGCACTAGGTAATACCCTTTAAAATGAC